TGATTTGCACTCGATCATATCATGATCCTTGTCACATCGGAGACTTTCCGCTTTCTTCGTAAGACGATGATGGCTGCAGCTCAGTGTTTCTCTAAGGTGTCGAAAATTGAACAGCTGGAGCCTCGCGAAAACGGCATTCAAAAACTCTCATCCGTCGGATCTGTGTAAACAATGTCAGATGTTACCTCTGATAGTCATACCAGGTCTAAGGGGTGAAACTTTTACTTTGTAGACACCTTTTGTTGTCTTTAGAACAAAACATAATACGACAGTGTTAAAGTCTCAAATATCTCCTAAAAACCTGTATCCTATACATGTTACCCCTCATATTCTGTAGGTCAAGTAGACGAGGGCGATTATCGCACTGTTTTGTCCAGTGGTATCAGAAACAAACAAGTTTTATCGTTGGGAAGAATGGGCGTCGTAAAAAGGCCTTCCGAGGTCGATAAGTATTTGTCATAAATGTTTGACTTGCGGAACGTTTAAAGAGTTTAGTCTAGTCGCAAAATTAAACTTTTACGTAGCTTGACTTTGGATGTCCTGACCTTCCAAAGCAATTAAAACCTTAGCATAATACTTCCGGAGTGATGTGGTCAAGAAGAGATATCGAGAAATTTCTACTGTACAATTTCTGCGTGAGGTAACTGTTTTTTTTTTGCTTTGGCCAAAATTTCACCTATATGGCCTGGACCTTGAGAAAAAAGGGCCTGGACTTGACCAGAACTGTTGAAATCAGAAACTTGGCTTCCAAAACATTTGAAAAAAGGATGCATTTTTCAGATGCACGAAAATTTAGTAGAGTCGTTTAAATCGTTAATTCTGGAAAAGGCCTAGGACCAGGCACTTCCCCCTCTTTGGTCAGGGGTTTAAACTGTGAAATTACATGCAAAATGCCGGAACATAAATTACACAAGAAAAACGTAGCCGTGCGACAGTTTACATCGCGTGCGTCGCTTTTGCTTAATGTTATTATGCGGCGTGGCTAGATAATGTGGCTTGCAGCGGTGTCGTGGCCTTTCAAGATAGCCAAATTGGGGCAGAAATAGCCACATTTCTTGACTTGAAACGAACTTGCCCGACTTTTCGAATCCAGCTAGTTTTAGAGCACTTCTGGCGGTATTTCTTTGTTCTAAGATCAGGTGTCTTTTTGGACTGAAACTTATTTAGGCTAACTCTTCAATGCCAAGTTTATTTTAAGCACTTCTTGCGTTAGTTGTTTTATATCAGGCGCCTTTTTAGGCTGAACTCTCCGCTCAGGCCCGCGTTACATGCCCACCCTTGCCAAATATATGAGTCGAAATTAAGTAATATTGGGAAATTGAGCCTCTTCTAACGTAATGAAAGTTTTTGCTCATTCAGGCAATAAATTGGGCCAATTCAATGTGTTGAGACCCTGTGGAAAGCTCCTCTAAAACAGTTGGCCTGACTGACATCGGATTTTGCTTGGACGCAAACTTACGACCGATGAAAAATTTGCAATACAAGCAGCGCAACCGGATTCACTCCATTTAGTGAGCATTGAGTGTTCAGTCTAAACCTGCGCCATATACGTTGTAGATGTAGACGTGGAAATCACGTCTACTTATAAGGTAGACATGCAGTTTTATACCTGAACCTTTATTCGCAATGCATGAAGAGGCAATAGGCGTTTGTAACTGTGGACACGCTCGTGCACTCCTCCGGTTGGTGTCACGGGTTTTTATGTATTGCTCTCGTCAACCTGCGGTCCTGGAACCAAATTCGAACATTTGGCCATGGCCATAACGCTTGTCGGTGGAACGTAATTTGCTTATTGCTGTTTTTCGAACTTTGCTCAGACGGCGATATAAGCGTTCGTTAGGACACGCACAGCAAAAAAAAAAACAAACAAAAACTATTGGCTTCAAAGGCTCCTGCATGCCAAGCCCCGTACCAGCCCAAAAAACTGGCACGCTTAGTCCAGTCCAACGTCCCAGGCCAGGCAGCCGTTACTATGGCATAGACCCCAGAACTGAATCCTCGGATTGCACACCCGAGTCCAAGACCATGGATCTTTAAGGATCCAGGATGCCTCTTAAAATGTCGTTATAAATGTAAAATGTAAAAGTTTTCTCAGATACGTAGCCCCAGCCGACATTGCTCCCGAGGATCAACGATGTGATCAGTGTGTTTTTGTCATTTTGTCGGAAGGGTTTGTCGAATGATTTTGGGATGTGAGATTTTTTTCCAAGCTTGGTGATGGATCGTTTTGATATATGGGATGTTTACTTCCGGCCCGTACACATGTCTAATAACCGGCGTTTGCTAGGCCTTTGCTTCCGTATTGCGTGCTTTGGGCAAAACCTTGCTTTGCCAAATTTTGTTTTCAGCAATGCATTGCATGAAATGCATCGCTGTAAGAACCGGTTTGTTCTAATGAAACACTGCTTTTGATCACGGACCGTGCGCGTCATGATTCTCCCAGCTTCTTCTGGTTGCAAGTCATGATATGTTATGTCAGGTTAGAAGAGCATGTTAGCCGTAGCAGCCTATTTGAGTTCGATAATTTGCACCGGAGCTAAGACAAGTGTCCAATACGGGTGGAGATAAAATACGACTCTTGTAGGGTTGTAGGTTATCATTTGCGCAGCGCGTTTAGGCACTCTGCACATCGTGCATTGTGCCTGAGTGATTCGACCCTTGTAGGGTCGTATGCTCGGAGGCTAACCGTGACAACCTACCTATCTGTGTGTCATTTCAATCAGAATGGTGGTAAATCACCGGTCATTGCGGTTAGGTTGGCCGTAATGTCATTTTGTTTATGGCGGAGGGTCGTGACAGCTGTTGGACCTGTTTTGTTCTGGGTGACCCCGCCGGTGGATAGGGCTCGGAGGGGCCACAGTGACGAGTGCCGGGCGCATCACCCCGCGGCCAGCACAGGCACCGACGGCGGTCAGACAGCGAGACATGGGCGCGCACGGCCGTCTATCCGGCTGACTACTGCATTATTCATTATAATATCCTGCGCAAAGAAACGGGATAAAGTTTTAAAAAAAATGTAAGAGGTCGCGAGAAATGAGATTTTTTAGATAGGTTACGCAAATGAGCGCTGATTCCAGCCGTGGGTGAAAAATTACACACGTAAGTCGTTGCGTTAGTTTTAAGTCAGATCTATCTTGCGAATGTGTCGACATTGTAATTCATACCCTGTGACTGAGGCTGAACAGGCATCAGCAATTCAAGCTGAGCATCTTGCACGCGGAAGGGGGTGGGGGGGGGTGGGGGTGGGGGGGGGGGGGTCAGCCCGCTCGTGGTCCGCTCGCCGTGGTGTCCGTTGCAGAACAGGGTCCACGGCGTATCTGCCAGCCGCTCAGCGGGCGGGCGCCGGACCGGTACCGTTACTGCCAGCCGGCCCGGCCCGGACCCGATGTGCCGGTGACCGGCGACACAGGCCGCCGCCGCCGGTGCGGCCCGCTGTCGGTGGACACCGCCGCCCGACCGGCTCCGTGGGCTCTGGGGCGCGGGGAAGCCCCGGCAGCGCGGCTCAGGGCACCTCGCCCCGGCGGCTGCGCCGGTCGGGACGCGTGGCTCGGGTCTGGGCGGGCACCGGCCGGCTGGGTCATGCCTCCACCCCGTGCCGGTTGACCGCACACGGCTGCGCCGGGTCGCCCGTCCGACAAGTGGAACCTCCCCGCGCGGCCCGCGCGGCCGGGCGCGCCCAGCCCCGGGAACGCGGACCCAGAAGAGCGAACGCCGGCGACGAATACGTTTGCAATGATTGCCTAAGTTGTTGTGTGCTAAACCTCGGCCGTTTTGAACCCAATGGACCGCGTGAACCGTTTCGTCTTCGAGTTGAAAGTACTCACCGCTTCTTTACTATGCGGCATCTGTTACGGCGTGCACTCGGTATAAATGTAATGTTTCGATCGTACGGCATCGACAGCTAGCGTCAGTGCCAGGGTGGCAGCTCAACACTGGCGTCTGACTGGTGCCGGGTACCGTCACATTTTTGGCGTCTGAAATATGGCGCCTCGATTCCGACAAACTGGCGGCGGCTGACTGGAGTCAGATTTTTATGAGGGTTTTTTTAGTTTCTCAGCATTACGGGCTCGCTTTCCTGGGGAAATGCCGCGCGCCGTTGAGCTCTATGTATACGTCTGTCTTTAGTAGGACGTTAGTTATAAATAGTGCATGCCTGTTCGCCGTGAGCCAGTGACAAGCTCTGGGCTTCAGCGGTGTGCATATTAAGCGCTGCCCTGCGTCGGTGGATAGGTCAGCTGTGTCACCTGTCGAGGGCGGCCCCGGTCCCGTGGCACAGGTGTGCCGCTCACCCCTCCGGCCGGCCGTCACACCGATTCAAACCCCTTCAGCGCGCTGACGCGTGCGGCGGCACCCGCCACCCCGTGAACCCCGCAGTCCCCCCTGCCTCGCACACTCTTCTCCCCACCCCTGAGCAGAGCCGAGCAGGGCATGGGAACGCTCACCGGCCGGTCGGCTTCGTTGCGGATGGGAGGGCCGCATTGCGTCAGGAACCGCAGGCCGGGTGGGCTCTGCATGGGGCAATGTCGTCTGTTGCCAGGCGGCGGACCGCCGATTCTCCCACCTCCCCACGGCAGTTGCGTAATCGACGTATCTGGAGTAGTCGGGAAATTACTACGGGAGGAGCCGCGTGCAAAAACAGCTCGCTGACGCGCCGGGCAGCGCCACGTGCGCGGGCCGATGCCAGCTCGTGCTGTTTTTACGGGCATGTGTCCCGGCGGCTGGCCGGCAACAGGGGCTCGCGCGCCATCGATCGTGCGCGTGCGCGGGCCCTTGTTGCGCGCGGCCGCTAAGTGGGTCACTAGGCTAGCTGCTATCAGACTTACATAGGCCCTGAAGAAACGGAATTAGGCCAGCTCGGGATCACTTTCACTATGGCGCGCGGCGCGCGGCAGTCGGCGCCGAGCGGATGTGGCGGGAGGAGGTGGCGCGGCACCGAGCCCGAGCGGCCTCACGTGTGTGCGAGACTGGAGCGCGCGCGCGCCGCGGCCGCCAGTCGCCGCCAGACATCAGCGCGCTGCGGCCGGCCGGCGGCCGAGCCCAGCCAGGCCCCGTGTCCCCGCCCCGCGCGCCATGATATCAGACATGGATCTGCCGCTAGCGCATGTGCCGCCCAGTTTCGGCGCGATGGCCGTGCAGCACGTGGGCCAGCCGGCGGTGGCGCCGCCGCCGCAGCAGGGCGGCGGCGTCCAGTGCTACAGCAGCCTGGCCTCGTCGCCGGCCGCGATGACCAGCGTCAACCCGCCCGTCTACTCGCACGTGCAGGTGTCCAACAACAACAGCATCCTGGGGCCACCGCTGTTGGATAACGCGTGTCTGTACCCGCCAGGCGCCACCAGCATGGGCGCCAGCGACCACCAGTACAACCTGCACCAGGAGCTCCCCGACACCAAGGAGGGCATCGAGGAGCTGTGCCCCGTCTGTGGCGACAAGGTGTCCGGCTACCACTACGGCCTGCTCACCTGCGAGTCGTGCAAAGGCTTCTTCAAACGGACCGTGCAGAACAAGAAGTGTACACTTGCGTCGCCGACAAAAGCTGCCAGATCGACAAGACTGCAACGGAAGCGCTGTCCGTTCTGCCGCTCCAGAAGTGTCTCGGCGTTGGCATGAAGCTCGAAGGTAAGCTCATTCATTTTTGTGTTGTCTTTTGCTGGGTTGTGTTAAAGTAATTTTTTGTCACGTATAACTGGCGCAGTTTTT